TTTAACAGTGGTGCTATATGTTACTGCCGGAAGGTTGGAGACAATGCCACGGTTTAATATAACATCATTAAAAGAAACTCCTGATGTCAGAAGAAAATTCTCGATGGTGTTCATTCACACGCTGGAAGGGTATCTGCCTATGATTTAGTCACTGCTTAGTGACTGCGGCTAATGAAAGCAGTTTCCAGTATTCCCAAAAGAATGTACTTGTCAACCTGTGGAAGGAAGAACTGAGAAGATCAAGAATTAATGGGAAACAGTCAGACATGCATGAAATAAGGCATTACCGAAAGACAGTCAACCTGAACTGAACAGTTATCTGACTGAAGAAAGGAACACATTGTGACTAAAACGAGCAGCTGTTATGGAAAAAAAGCGTTAGACGAACGTTCACTTTAATCCGGCATTACAGGGAAAGAAATAATACCAATTTGCATTTCGCTAGTTTCAAAGATAGATCGCGTATGCTCATAGAACCAAATGTGCCTATCGCTTTCGAGAACATTTTCAGCAACTTATCAACCGAACTCTGCCAACGACTTGAATGCTTCTTTAACCGAAGTAGGACGTTTGATTATGACTGAAGCGTTGAAGTATCAGTTCTCGAAGAGATTCTGAATGCTCTCAAAAAAGGGTAAAATAGTAAAGCAGCAGAAATAGGCGAAATTCACGTGGAGCAAATATAACATATGCCTTATACAGTAAAGCAGATGTTGCTGAACATCAGTCATAAGATTTGGTGAACAGAGACAATGCAGAGAAGCGGTGCTAAGTAGCGATTATTCCAACACACAAAAAAGTGCTGCATCAGATGTCTGAAATTACAGAGGAATCAGTCTCCTATGCGAGGAACTGAAGGTTACTGACAGAATTATCATTAGCAGAATTCGACACTATAGACAGAATACCATTAAATAAGATTAATGTGGCTTTCGCCTGGGCTGATCGACCATGGGCCACATTCTAACACTGAGCATTCTGCTGAAAAAATATACAACCTATAAACTAAACAACTGTTCACTGGCTATATCGACTTTGAGGCAGCATCAGATTCTCCAGACCGCGGAACCTATATGAGTGGCTAAGAAATGACGACATGACAGACAAAGTTGTCAAAATCTTGGAAAAAAACATTAATATGATACTTTAGTATTGTGTGATCAGATTCAAGTAATAAACTCGCTGAAAAATTCACAGAAATTACATCGTTGGTATTGAGAACATTTGTCAGTTTCTCAGAAGGCAAAACTTTACTGCTTAATTAAAGCAATGGCAAATGACTTAAGGTGAGAGAATCAGAAGTTGAAAGCCACAAGTGATATAGACACATTACATTTTCTAGAGACATTGTCTGATCGGCGACTCGACGATCTTGAATTTAAAATGCTGCTAAATATGTGCGCAAAAGTGCGACGCTGAAAACGATGTATACAAGTGCGAATACTCATATAGATATAAGGATATGAAGAGAAAATTAAGTTAAATATAACTATTACAGAATATTTCTTGTTTTGATCTGAAAAGACAAAAGTAATGTAAAACGGAAATTTACTTACGCTTCAAACAAATCAGCGAACGTCATGAAGTCAGCATACATTTCCAGAAGGGAACGGCGTTCGAGGATGTACGTAGGGAGTACAATTTTTGTAAGATCCATACCAACTGATAACTGTGAAATCATATGCATGATCACGCTGCCATGTTCTCTGGTATCCTCTACTGCAAAAACGACCCCCATCATATCAATAAAAAGAGTCACACATAATTGTAAGACGCATGTTTATTAATTCTTTATCACCGATAATGCTGATTAAAATGCAGTACAAACAACTCAGTTTCGTTTTAAACATATGCAGTCTATTTGAGACGAGCATAAGAAGCTGAAGATTGAATACGGCGCTTGAGAAGGAAACACATATCACCGAAGTTACTCGCAGCAGCTTTAAACGAGATTTTCAAGCCACTCCACTGCAAAAAAATTAAGAGCTCATCATATGAAGATGGGTACTGTTTAAGTCACCTCTAGTTTGAGAGAGAAATTTTGATTCTATCAAGATCACGTGAAGAATTCCAAGAAAAATCTCAGAACTGAA